TCCCGTCTCCTCACCAGGGCGCACACACACACACACACACACACACACACACACACACACACACACACACACACACAGTCAACCACACACTAAAAAAGAAATGTGTAAACATATCCTCAAATAAATGGCAGTACACACTCTCTCTCTCACACACACACACACACAGCTATACTGCTGTGGATGCTTTTACAAATACAAAAAGATTGGCTGCACTATCTCAACTCAACACAAACCATTTAGTACATAATGAGTAAATGTGTTTTTTTAATCAGATCCCTCAGGTTTCATTGGACCACGACTCCAACATTATTTAACAAAGTTCAGCTTATATTTTTCTATTATATTTAGTCCTTGAGTCAGAAACATCTCAAATTACTCAAAATGCTGCCAGAAACAAAGGTTCTGCATTGCTGTAGTATCACCACATGTGAAAAATCCCACCTCATATCACAGACAATACTAATTTTTAATAAAATATAGTATAATGATCTTAGCGTTTTAACTAACTCACAATGTAAAACCCGGATCTGTTTAGTTGAACAAATCTCACAGGAATTGAAGAAAGACAAAAACACAGATCATCTTCTACATCATCATCTTCACTCAGTCTCTATATATGATGTTTTATAGCCGCCACATATTGGAAGAAAATTGAATTGTTCTGCCTGTCACTGTTACATAGATGAACCAAGAGAAATTATTTAGAAACATATTTTTTTCCTAAATGTTGATGAAATAAATCCTGAAAATCCAGAATATGAAGATTTTTTAATTTTTTTAAAATTATTATTATGATATAGACAAAAAAACTTTATTCAATCTCAATATTATACTGTAAATAACCTAATCATTTAATCCAAATATTTGACTAACGATTTATTCACTTTGCCAAAAGACAGAATTTACACACTCAACCCGATAATAAGCTCCTGAAATTTTAATCTAAATGATTATTTTCTAAACGTAAGGGGATTGCACTAATGTAGTTTAATGTCAGGCTGCAATTCAGAAATTCGCTCAGGCCAGCAAAAGGTTTAGAAAAATAATTTCTTATTAATGTGCAATCCTTCATTCTGTTTCTTCTTGAAAACCAAATCTTGCTTAGTTATTTATTCATTCAGTCTTTCAAATCAATTTGCTTTTCAAAGCTTGGGGAAGCTGCAGCAACTCCCAGCTGACATACTCGAGGACAAAAACAAGGCAATGTTTCAAAAAACAAATCAGCCAAAAGTTCATTTGTCTTAAATCAAAAGTATATAGTTTATAAAAGACGCAGAAAAAAAATAACTTCTGATCTCCCAAATGGAAACCCAACACTAGTTATTTAAAACACTGCGTAGAAACAACATCATTACCTTGAGTGAGAGGTCTAAATTCAGGTCTGTAAGGAGGAACAGTGTAGCATAAGGTAACATTAGGTAAATGTGCAACCTTTCATGTTCATGCGTCACAAATTGATCGCACCAATCATCCCTGATTAACGCTGCCAGCATGAAAATCAACCCTGATTAACGCTGCCAGCATGAAAATTACATCACTCAAACTCTTTGTTGTTATTGATTTTTCTTCTTATTCCCTTTATTTCCTTTTCTAACTTTTACTTTAACTGTTAATCTGATTCTCAACAGGGGTTCACAGACTTCTGAGAGGTGTGAGAATCAGTCAAGACCCTTTGACTGACTCTGACGTCTGGCCTGGAAACCATGGCAACTGCAACAAACAAGACCTGTTGCATTGAAACAACCACACAAAAAAAGATGCCTATTGAGGACCAAACTATTAGACCCACAACAAATTATGACTTTGAATGTATAACACAAATAATTTAAGAATTTATATATACAAATATGTATACTGTATATGTGTAAATGTATGTATATATTGTGCGTATGTGTACACTAAAAACTCTATTTCTGATTTTTACTGACAGTTCCAACATTTATAGGGGTCTAATAATGCAAAGTTAATTATATGCACATATATGGATATATATAATGGAATTAAGGTGTCAAATTGATTAGAAGACCGCACAGAAGTAGACCAACCACATTCAAGACCAAATCATCTGCTAAGGGAACTCCCCATGGTATATGACAGCTAACAAGAACGTCTTGCCCATTCAGAACCCTCTACCTTCAGTGGAACTGTTAAGTGAGGTTCTCAATGTACCGTTAGGAAGTAGTAGTACCTGATTAAACAAAGACTTGGAGTTTATTGCCATTTGAAATCCATAGAATGAGCGTGAGAAACTTAAAATCTAAAATCTCTAAAAAGTTCTGGGATCAATAAAGTATATCCATCTATCTTAGTTAGTGAGACCACAATATAACATGAGACTTCCCTGGACCTATCACCAAACAACTGCAGCCTGTTGTCCAGATGTTTAATAGTGGATAATGTTTACAAAAAGGAACAACAGAAGCTACCTCCATTACTTTGCTCTGTATAAAAGCCTCAGTCCTACTTGCAACATCTTGATTTCCTGTGTGGAGTGATACTTCTCCAGAAAGAGAGTATTTCTCCCACTACTATTCACTGTTTTCTGTTTCATTGGCTACAGTGGCAGCAGCAGCCTGAGACTGGTAATTAAATTAGTGGACTGGATACAACATGGATTATTGCCTCCGTTGGAAATCCTGTCATGTGCTGCTCACTGTATCCAGTTTGCAAACAAAATTAATGATTAGTGTCAAAACATGAAAACACAGCACAGGACATAACAATGAGTTCTGATTCCTCAAACCACGGACTTGAAGTTGAGTTCTCACTCTTCAGGAATACTAACGCAGTTAGTCTTGGCGTCGCATCGGATGTGAAAACGAAAGTCAGCTTTGACTGAAGCCGTTCGTCTTTTGCTGCTCTTTTAACTAACAAGGCCCCATCGGAACGCAGCGAAATCAGGTCACCTTCAGAGGGTCAATAATTCAGAGATAAGGTCAATACAAGAAAAGGGCAGACGTCTCAGCATGGTGGGTGTTGACCGGGGGTCATTTATTCCATCCTATTAGATATTTAGATATATGATATAAGGGTTTTATTGATTTGCTCAGTACCAAGTACCAGTGCACCTGTATGTCTGACGGTAATAAATATATCCAGGAATTCCATTAAAAGGTTCTGTCTATGAATCCTTTCATGGTAATTTAACGAAACTCATTTTTATACTGTTTAATTGCTTTGCGGGCTATTGAGTTTAATCAAGTCATATTAAACAAATTAAAATGATATGAGAGTGGGTCAGGCTTGGTTGATCACCAGTGATCCACAGCTGCGCACTGTCACTTTTGTCAGTCGGATTCACAGCTAATTAATCAGACCAGATCCGACCTTGCACACGGAGCGGCTGCATAATGCAACATCAGGGTCACGACCAGTGGGCCACCATCTGCTTTCTTTCAAGGAGCATTCAGGGAATGGACCTTAGACGAGTTTGAACACATGATGACAAATAGGTGTCGCGGGACGCGGCCTGAGATCCCTGGACAGTTGTCACTTCATCAAACATGTTAGAAATCTATTAGAAAATTAAAGAATAGGCAGGAAGTTGAATTAAATATCAAAACACAATTCCTAAACACTCAACTAATCACTCCATATGTGACACTAAACACTATCATCTAGTCAAACATGCCACAGGCTAGACAGGCTAACAACAGGCCAATGATATATGCCATTTTTGTTTCAGACATTGATGACCTGAGCCATTTTAAGTCATGTTCATGCTACCTACATTAGCAGTCCAGTTTTTCTTTTTTTCTTGACTCCGATATGTCTCTCTCCATTTTCTCAGTCCAGTTTTTCTTTTTTTCTTGACTCTGATATCTCTCTCTCCATTTTCTCATTGTATTCTGAATAGAAGATTATGACAGGACGAAATCATTTTGACATGATATTGAATTACGTGGTAAGAAAGGGCATTTAGTTGAGATTCCTATTATACTAATTGTAGACCACAGTGTATCTTGTGTTACTCTCTCAGTTTTACCTTACTTCTGTCTCTTTGCTTTGATATTTCTGGAGTGTCGTGGTCACAGCAAATGACAGATATGTTTATATTGTTTGAACAAGTTCATCAGCAAAGAAAATCACTAACCTTTAGACTAGTCATTCCCAACCTTTTCTGGCCCCGCCATTTTGTCGACACAAATTTCTGGCGACCCCAATGACATTTTAGTAGCTGTCATTTGTACAGTCACGTCAATCAAGATGCACCAGCTCAGATATTTTTATACGCTGCATTTTATTTGAACTCAATGTATTTTCATAAAAGTGAAAGAATACAGTTGTTTAAGATTGTGTGCGGTGTTTTTAACCATATTTTAAAAATTATAACATCAGTTGAAAAAATATTTTCAATTTTTTTTTATCACTAACTAGACTTTAGGCAACTTAGATTTCAGGAACTCATTTGATTTCCAGGCGACACCACATTGGGTCGCAAACTCAATGTTGAGAAACACTGCTTTAGACCTTTATATTAGGTAAGAGTTACCAACCTGTTTTGTTATCTATATTATACCTTTATTGCATTTGTAGGTGAGCCTCATTCTTAAAAGTTTGGTTTTGAAAGACGTATTAGTAAAAGAAAAACAAACTGCCATCTTTGATATGCTCATGTAAACAGGTGTTTTTAAAAGGCACCGGCACCACGTCTACACATTTGCAAAACATTCCTTTATTATAAATAAATCTCCATTTGTTGTATAAAAACTGGCATGCTTCAACCATGGCATTGTACAGGTTCACGACCCAAGGCTACGACCCAGTGAGCCAAGACAGCAGGAGGAAACACACTCATCTCATTATGCACGGGCGATCCATCAGACAACGGTGAGACAAGAATGAAAAAAGTCGTCACAACCACAAAAATACTTACAAGTAGAGAAGAACAACAAACAGGTTTGAGTCTCATAGATTTTTCTCTTACGTTTCTCTCTTTTTAAATA